CTCCAGCTCTCGAACCTAGAGGAGAGCGGGAGAGAGACATGTATTAAAACTGCGCAAAGCCAGGTAGGAACGCATTAGAAGCAACACTGTCATCTACAAAGAGGAGCATGTATGGTGTGCTTTGTATGCTCATACCAAGGGAGTACAGGAAGTCAAATTTCAAAAGTGAGGTAACCCGTGAGAGCAAAGTTTCTTTGCTGGTGTGATGAGCAAATGTTTCCAGTTATTTTTAAATGGCGCTTTGTAAGAGCAGCGTGGTGCTGGAGGAGGCTCTTGAGAGTCCCCTGGACTGCAAGGAGATCAAACCTGTCTATTTTGAAACAAATCAACCCTGAGTGCTCACTGGAAGGACAGACCCTGAAGCCGAGGCTCCAAGACTTTGGCCATCTCAAGAGAAGACAAGACTCCCTGGAAAAGACCCTGATGTTGGGAAAGTGTGAAGGCAAGAGGAGAAGGGGACGACAGAGGACGAGATGGTTGGACAGGTTCACCGAAGCGACCAACATGAATTTGACCCAACTCCAGGAGGCAGTGGAAGACAGGAGGACCTGGTCTGCTCTGGTCCATGGGGTCACGAAGAGTGGGACACGACTGAACAACTAAACAACCTTTGAATCCCTCACCAGCTAGTTTGTCCTTGACAAAATTCCCACCGGATGCCCAGCAAGAGTGAAAGAAACCATATTGAAGCGGTGCAAAATGAAAACCTCAACTCACTTTGCTTTGTAGGACCAGAATTTGTTGAGCCCGCCCGCGCCAGCTGCCGGGGGTAGCCAGCAGGTTTTGAACGATGACGTCCTCTCCAACTTCATTCGCTAAGAGCTGCACATGAAAGGTAAACGGGATCACATCAAAGCAAACACTTGCCGATGGAAATGTTAGTTTCACTGACATGGTGTGAAAACGGGAAGTACCCTTCCTCCCCCCCTTAATACAGAGGACCTTAAAATGAACCTAAACTCTATGTTTATTGTTTTGTTGTTGTTTTTAAAAGTTATTTGTATCTCTCTTTCCTGGAATTGTCACATGGGGGGGTTGGAACAGTTTCATAAGGCCTGCCAGTACCTGCCAGATAAACAGAGAGAAGGAATTTTGTTGGCTGTGGCAGGCCCTCTGGAAAAATCTGAAACACGCTTCTAGGACTTAGAGAGTTCCAGAAGCACCGTGTTTCCCCGAAAATAAGACAGGGTCTTATATTAATTTTTGCTCCAAAAATGCATTAGGGCTGGTTTTCAGGGGTTGTTCTATTTTTATTTTTTCATGGACAACAATCTACATTTATTCAAATACAGTCATGTCATCTTCTGGTTGCTACACAATGGTGGAGGGCGGGGTTTCACGTAACTGGGGCTTATTTTTGGGGTAGGGCTGATATGACGAGCATCCTGAAAAATCCGACTAGGGCTTATTTTCAGGTTGGGTCTTATTTTCGGGGAAACAGGGTAGTCGTTCTAGCAGAAAGTCAACTAACTTTAATTTAAAAGGAAAAAGAAATTCCTTTTTAAAGGTTAATTAGGGTAGCAGAAATGAGAAACATCTAGGGTTTTTTGGACTAGAAAAAAGCTGCCAACCCAAAAAGTCACTTTTGCCACCTCTGTGTATTTGCAACGCTCCACGGAATCCAGGATATGGAACGCCGTCACACAAACCACGAAAAAGGTTCCTACCTTCTGGGTCATCTTAAGTTCCTGCTTTGTGGTCTGGAGCTGGTTGCGAAGCTCGGAGATTTTGAGGTTGGCTGCCGATAACTGACCCTGCACGACTTTCATCTCTGGGGTCTCATGGTTCAAAAGAAACGGAGTGTTACTGGGCGTGCAACCGAGACACCCCAATCAAAGCAAAAACAACACACCAGAGAGGTGAACGAACAGATGAATGAAACTCGGATAGCGTTTCGAGACTTGGAGAAGGGAACGCCCTCGCTGTCCCCTTTCTTGGCCTGTCGGTCTAAGCTAGGCTGCTGGAGAGGACCAGATAAAAAAAAAGGGGGGGGGATGCAATTCCTGCACCTTGAACAGCGGTGCACGGGAGGAAATTTCATTGGGCATAGTGGAAATTTCCTTTTCTACGCAACGACGGAACGTAGAGGAATCTTGCTGGGTTGTTTTTTTTCTTCCCATCTGGTCTCAGCAATGGTGCCCCTTCTGGGAAGCCCCACCCTTGGCTGTTAGCCAGCGCTTGTAGGGGAGAACCGAATCCCCGGTCCGGAGACTCCTCGGAGGCAGGAGCAACCTTCGGAACACGGCCAGACAGCCTGAAAAACCTACAACCACCGTTGGATCCCCACCATGAAAGCCTTTGAGAATACAGCGGAAGAGTCATTTGCTCCTGTGTCCCCAACCAGGAAAAAAAATAAGACACATGAATCATGCCTAGCACAGATAAGATTTTTAGCATTACCTGGACTACAGATCCCATAACTCCTCATTCTGGGAGTCCTACCTGACTTACACACACCTTACAGACCTGTACAGTGGTGCCTTGCTAGACAGTTACCCCACATGACAGTTTTTTCGCTAGACATTGACTTTTTGCGATCGCTATAGTGATTCGCAAAACAATGATTCCTATGGGGGAATTTCGCTGGACAATGTTTGGTCCCTGCTTCGCAAACTGATTTTCACTAGACGACGATTTGCTTTTTGCTAGACAATGATTTCGCTAGACAGCGATTTCAGTGGAACGGATTATCATCGTCTAGCGGGGCACCACTGTAAATATGGCTCACCTGGGAAACAAGGCCTCAATGGGAAGTCCTTAGGGGCCGAACTAGGCCTAGCCTCCACCCAAGCTTCCTGTTCCTGCCCCAGTGCTAGCTGGGAGCTTTTTTTTTGAACTGGAAGCTAAGGGGGAGCTAGGCCGAGCTAAGCCCGGAAGCCTTTTCTCCCAGGTGAGCGCCACTTTTACAGGTCTGTAAGTCGGGCAGAATTCCCTGAATGAGTAATTATTGGATGTTTCACTCCCAAGAAATCTGAAAACGACATCCTTAATACCTAGTTCTGGACTGAAGACTCCATCCAACGATCCAAGCAGAGGCGTGACTAGCCTTGCATTTGCAAAGACGGGGACCCAACGTGTTGTTTTCCTCCCAGTAAGCATGACTGGGGGTGACAACCTCAGCTTGCTAAGATATGCAAGGGCTCCTTCAGCCTGCAGTCCCCGTTTTACGACTGAATTTAATTGCAGCTCTCATAGCTTAAAACGACTAGCCCAGTTTTGAGACTCTTCTCCCCCCCTCCTTATTCAGTCCTCTAATCTGAGAAAAAGTCCTGGAAAACTCAAAAACAGGCTAGTGTTCAGTTTTTGAGTTTGCTCTTAATAATGGTAGGCTTGACCAGAATTTTGAGTCTTGTTTCCTTCTTACTGATCAACCCCTGTCTCCTTATTCAGTCCTCTAATCTGAGAAAGAGTCCTGGAAAACTCAAAAACAGGCTAGTGTTAAGTTTTTGAGTTTGCTCTTAATAATGGTAGGCTTGACCAGAATTTTGAGTCTTGTTTTCTTCTTACTGATCAACCCGTCTATTAAATGTTCTTATTGGCTCACTCCATAAGATGCACCTTTCCATAAGACGCACCAATTTTTTAGGAGAAGAAAACAGGAAAATATAATCTGTTTTCTTCACTCCATAAGGCGCACAGACTTTCCACCTCCCTGTTTTGTGGGGGGAAAGTGCGTCTTATGGTGCGAAAAATACGGTAATTCCCGTTTCCTTCTTACTGACCGAACCGTCTATTAAATGTTCTTATTGGCTCAAATCACAGCCATTCATAACAAAAGAGATTTAAGGTGTTTTTTTTTCTTTTTTTCTCCATTCATCTCCGTTGACCGAACGCAATCCTAAAGTGGAGATGCCGATCATTTGCTTAGCAGGGATCCCAAAATAACTCTGCAGAGAGTGATCTATCAGCGAGCCAGCTCATAAACCTCCCTTCATGATCAGCAATACCAAACCACAGAAGATAGTGGAGGGTGTAAACAGAATAAAGTTGTCTGCCTGTAATTTTATCTTCACCATCTAAGCAGAGTAATTCATTCTTACCAATTGAGTGTCTGCTGTTTTACGAGCAGGCGGAACATCTTTGTCTCCATGTGGCTGGGGCTTGGTAGCTGAGATCTGTAGCTAGGAAAATATATATACAGATTCTTACCAATTGAGTGTCTGCTGTTTTACGAGCAGGCGGAACATCTTTGTCTCCATGTGGCTGGGGCTTGGTAGCTGAGATTTGTAGCTAGGAAAATATATATATATATTCATATACATTATTAAATAAATGCCATATGCATTGCACAACCACCAAGCTGATTGTGTGAGAACAGCCCTATGCAGATGCTCAATCCAGCGATGTGAGCATGCTTGTAGAGAACGCCTAACCATTTGCCCTTCATCATAGCGTTCTTCACTATTTCCATTTTGGGTTGGTTCTACTTGCATATAGGTTCTATAAGTGAGCGAGAGTTCTGGAAAATCTGGATGCTCCCTCGTGGATAAGGAGACTACAAGAGGTCAGGCGTCTTCTTTTTGGACATGGTGCTGAAAATACAAAAGCCAGCAACGGCGGAACAGGATAAGGCTAGGCGCCCCTCTCTAAGCATGTTCGCAATGCTAGACTGAAAGGACAACATCCGTATAAAGGCTCGTTGAGAAAATTAAAGGGTAGGAAGCAGGGGGAGAAAGGAATAAAGGACGAACTAATAGATTTACTCAAGTGGGAGCTGTCACGGATCAAAATCCACTTGTTCAAGCAGTCCACTTCTAAGCCGTGAACATTCACAATGTAAAAAAAAAATCTGTTAGGAGCTACTCAAGTGGGAGCTGTCACGGATCAAAATCCACTTGTTCAAGCAGTCCACTTCTAAGCCGTGAACATTCACAATGTAAAAAAAAAAATCTGTTAGTCTTATAAAAAGGAGCTCCATGGCACAGTGGTTGGACTGCAGTACTGCAGTAAAGCATCCACTCACAACCTGAGTTTGATCCCAGCGGGTTCAGATAGCCGGCTCAAGGTTGACTCAGCCTTCCATAGCAATGTGCTATGCAGTCTGAATCTGGCATCCTTAATAGGCCACCAGGGGGGAAACTCGGCATGTATCTTTCCTGTTATAACAACTCCACTGGCTACCAATCCATTTCAGTCCCAGTTCAGCGTAGTGGCTACAGCCTATCAAGGGATCTGTGACATGGAAGCAGTCTCCCCAAAGGATGTAAACACATTTGGGGATCCCCAGGCAACAACAACACCCTGCCAGCAGGTCCTTCTACTCAGAAGCATCCTTGAATGAGCAACTATACGGCACATCCAGAATAGCTAAGGACCACATATGAGTCTCACCATCATTTAAGGTCTTCAGAGGAAGGCCCTCCTCATGGATCGACCACACTCATGGGCTGGTTTGGTGAGAACACAAGAGAGGTCATTGCCAGGAACTGCTTCGAAGGCAGGCTGTGGAACTCCCTGCCACTAGGCAAAGATTTTTCTCTTCAGGTATGTGTCCGGCATCCTAACTGGATGGAGTCTTTAGTGTGGGACAGACTTTTAAAAATGTTTCAATGAGTTTTTGATATGTTCCTAATTGTTTCAGGAACAATTAGGAACATAATTGTTCCTAATTGACCGAATAAGCGGTCAAACGGGGCTGCAGTGCTACAACTTATCCATCTGTTCTTTTCAAACGGTTTTTGAAAACCACCTCGGGGAAAAAGATGACCTCTGAAATGCAATACATCAACGAGTGAGCGAATGAATGAACAAATGAACGAACGAGCGAAGAAATGAACAAACGAACACTTCTTTAGTAACCATGAAGAAGCCAATGAGCAGCAACAGAAATCAACCCAGTGGTGACAAATGCCCGCTGGGTGAATAGAAGCAATTTGCTCTATGCCACCTTTCTCGATTCTCTGCCTCCACGTGACCTGATCTTACGGAAACCCCTTGGTAACAGAGAAGGCTCACTTCATTTTCCAGATCTTTGATCCTGTTTTTCAGCTGTTTTGTTTTCGTTTTCTCTTTTTCCATCTCGGCTGTCAAGTGCCGGTTCCGTTTCGCCAGCTCAACGATTTTGGTGGCAGCGACGTCTCCTGCTAAGCCAGAGGTTCCTGGACGAGAAGAAAGAGAAACAGCGGCATTATTAGTGATTTAGGCCTCTGCCTGTGGAACAAAAGAGGTTGGGAGTTCGATTCCTCCACTGGGCCTCCTCGACAGGGGATGGTCTAGATGATCCCTAAGGTCCCTTCCAGCTCAACATTTTTAAGATTTAAGATTAGTATTATAATAACAATGAAACATTTTATCTTTATGGTCTGACTAGGTCAATTCCATGGTTAATATTACAGCCGCCGCTAGCATGGCTGTAAATAAGCCATGTTACAAGTGTCTGACACATCAGTCTATAACCAATATGTCAAGTGGTTCAAAGGCAACTTCAGAATCCCATACATGTTTCATTTTTTTAATTTTATTTTTTATAACACATAAAGACATATTTCCATCGTCATTTGTCATGATCGCTGGATATACATCAAATTGTTCATATCCTATCATGTCTCATTTGTCTCTATACTCTTATTTCTTTGATCTAGCCACTCCTACATTTTATTCCAGTTTTGATAATATTCCGAATCCTCTTCCCTTTTAATTGCCATTTGTCAATCTCTCCATCTCTGCACAGTCTAAGATAATTTGTACAATTATTTATTCTATCGGAAATTTCTCATTTTTCCCAATATTGAGCCCATACTATTCTAGCTGCCGTCAATATAGGCAATAGAATATAGCTATCTTGTTTGTTAATACCCAATAAAAACAACTCTCGTTTGAGTTCTATATTCAATTTTGTACATTTTTCCCAATATTGAGCCCATACTATTCTAGCTGCCGTCAATATAGGCAATAGAATATAGCTATCTTGCTTGTTAATACCCAATAAAAACAATTCTCGTTTGACTTCTATAATTCATTCATTCATTCATTCATTTATTGCTTTTTCGTAAGTCCACCATACAGGATAATAGGTTCCCTCATGTATGATGTACAGAAGTGAGAGCTGGACCGTAAAGAAGGCCGATCGCCGAAGAATTGATGCTTTTGAATTGTGGTGCTGGAGGAGACTCTTGAGAGTCACCGGGACTGCAAGGAGAGCAAACCTAATCCATTTCATTCATTCATTCATTCATTTATTGCTTTTTCGTAAGTCCACCATACAGGATAATAGGTTCCCTCATGTATGATGTACAGAAGTGAGAGCTGGACCGTAAAGAAGGCCGATCGCCGAAGAATTGATGCTTTTGAATTGTGGTGCTGGAGGAGACTCTTGAGAGTCACCGGGACTGCAAGGAGAGCAAACCTAATCCATTCTGAAGGAAATCAACCCTGAGTGCTCACTGGAAGGACAGATCCTGAAGCTGAGGCTCCAATCCTTTGGCCATCTCATGAGAAGAGAAGACTCCTTGGAAAAGACCCTGATGTTGGGAAAGTGTGAGGGCAAGAGGAGAAGAGGATGGCAAAGGACGAGATGGCTGGACAGGGTCATTGAAGCAACCAACATGAATTTGACCCAACTCCGGGAGGCCGTGGAAGACAGAAGGGCCTGGTGTGCTCTGGTCCATGGGGTCACAAAGAGTCAGACATGACTTAACGACTAAACAACAACATGTTTTTTTACATTTCCAACACCTATCGCAAACATTTGGGAACATTTTTGCCATGGTTAATATTACAGCTGCTGCTAGCATAACCGTAAATAAGCCATGTTACAAGTCATCCGTCTATAACCAAGTGGTTCAACAGCAATTGCAAAATCACATACATTTGTACAAGTACTGAAACCGTCTCCAAGTTGGGTTCCAAAATCTCATTGCTCAAAGAGAAGCAAGTTTAGTCTTGATCAGTACTTGGACAGGAGGGATTCTGAGAATTCCGTATGCTTTTTTTTTAATGTCTTGGAAAGCGAAACATATATATAAGCATGCAATTAATAAACAGGAGCACCATATGAACTTTAACAACCTTGGAGGAGAAGTCCTACCAACTTCAGTGGAATGCCGCATGGTAATTGAAGCTAATTATGAAATCCCAAACACAATCTTCTGGGAACATCTCTTGCCCTCTTGTCAAACAATTAGAGGCAAGGCTGTTTTTTTTTCCCCTTTTTTCCCCCACCAAGGTTATTACAGTTCATAATCAAGCTCCTTAAAAAACACATGTATTAATGGATCTCGGAAAATGGAAGCAGCAGGTAAAACTACTATCTTGCCGGTTCTCCAGTTTAATTAGGCAGATGTTGGGAAGGATATTTGGATATGCCAGACCCTAAGTGGGTGTGGTTTTCTCTTATCATAATTATTTAATATCCTGGTTAACTTTCATACCAGCAAGTGCCTCTTAACTGAACTAGCAGTGCAACGGCCATAGCTGATTTCATATTCAATTCGTACAACAGTCAAATTACCCAGGAAATTTTTCATCCAGTTGCATCATCGCAATGAAGATCAAGGGTAAACAGGAAAGAGAAAGAAGATGGATTTATTGAGGGAAGAACATCAGAGACTGGCTGGACTTTAATATGGAAGGAGGTATCCACACAACAAGGATGTATTGGTCAGTGGTTTAGATCTCTGGCTGCGGAGCCGGAGGTTGGGAGTTCGATTCCCCCACTGGGCCTCCTGCAAGTAGAGCCAGCCTGGGTGGCCTTGGGCAAGCTGCACAGTCCTAGAGCACCCCAGAAGAAGGGAACGGCAAACCACTTCTGTGTATTTTTACCTAGAACACCCTGAAAAGTCGGAATTGACTCCACAACACGATTATTATGAATTCCTATTTTTGCTTGGTTTGACCATACTCACAACAGTGGTTAGATTTTTTTTCAAAAGAAAATAATGGTTAAACATCTAAGTAACAATAATCGGGTTGGGGGGGGGACATGAAAGCATAATGCACAGAAAACTACATATTAGATGCTCTCCCCCCACACACACCACAGATAAACTTTTTTTCTATCAGTGTTGCAAAAAAAAATGTGCCAGCTGTTGTGATACACCGGGTTTCCCAGCGGCTAACCACAATTTTCAGGGTTAACCTTAATTCACATCCTTATTGCTGATGGTCCACACCCTTCTTTTCTTTCTCAGTACATTTTCGGGACGGGAGACATCAGGGCAGGGTATCATTAAGTGTTGAAATTTAATTTATTATCTGGAGACAGGTCTTCAACGAGAGGGATTGTGGTAAGTGAAGTAAAGCTGCAACAGAAGCCAGAGGAGGTGAGTGGTTTGAATCCATGAAAAATACAGGGAGCCAAATCTACAGTATTGGAAACTATTGCATTCTATTCCTAACCTCAGTCTCGTAAGATATATAAGAAGAAGGAGGGTGTTCTGATTTACACAGCCCAGGTATGATCCCACGGCTGTGATGCTCTCTAAGAGAAAGGGTGGGAGGCAGAAGAGCGTCGATTAGACCAGTGGCTTCCAACGTTGGACGCCCAGGTGTTTTCAGACTAAAACTCCCAGAAGCCTTCACCATTCAGCTGTGCTGGACATGATTTCTGGGAGTTGTAGTCCAAGAACATCTGGGAACCACTGGATTAGCCAAAGAGATGGGAAGACACTTTACCTGCAAAGGACCTGAGCCTTCTTTCTCTATGGCCCTGATATGGACTGAATCCCCATGGAAGGAGCTTATAGAGATACTTTGTTGTTATTGTTTAGTCCTTAAGTCATGTCCGACTCTTCGTGACCCCATGGACCAGAGCACCCCAGGCCCTCCTATCTCCCACTGCCTCCCAGAGTTGGGTCAAATTCATGTTGGTCACTTCGATGACCCTGTCCGTCCATCTCGTCCTCTTTCGTCCCCTTCTCCTCTTGCCTTCATATTTTCCCAACATCAGGGTCTTTTCCAGGGAGTCTTCTCTTCTCATGAGATGGCCAGAGTATTGCAGCCTCGGCTTCAGGATCTGTCCCTCCAGGGAGCACTCAGGGTTGATTTCCTTTAGAACGGATAGGTTTGTTCTCCTTGCAGTCCAGGGGGCTCTCAAGAGTCTCCTCCAGCACCACAATTCAAAAGCATCAATTCTTCGGCGGTCAGCCTTCTTTTGACAGAGAGACTAGGAAGACCCTAAAACACGTCTCCTTACCCATGAGGGCCAGTCTTTCCTCCTCGATCTTCTTCTGGAGCTGCTTAATTTCGAAGTCGCGCTCCTTCAGCAGCTTGTACAGCCGGCCGTTCTCATCCTCAGTTTCTCGGAGCTGGTTCTGGAGCTGCTCATTTTCGTTTTCAAGCAACATAAAGAAGAGGAAGGGATACATAAGCATAACAGAGAGAGAGAGAGAGAGAGAGAGAGAAATACTGTATATTTCAAGTCTCAGGCCAGGACAAGTGGTGGACCTAAATTTTTCGGAGCCGCATCTTCTCATTACCCTCCTTCTGCGCCATGACGGCCTTCCAAACATTTGCTGAGAAATAATGAATATCTGATGCGTAGGAACTTGTAATATTCTGTGTTTTTATCCTGGCACATTTTTATTTTTATCTTTTTTGCTAGATTGATTAAAAAAACATTACAGCAGCAATTTGAGGTTAAATTTTCCCCAAGGATGCTTGAAAGAGGCATATTTTTTTTGGACCGTCGTCTGGTTATTTTCTTCTCCGTGCGCCCAATTGGACAGAGTGCATTTATCAAAGGCCTTTAATCCCCTTTTATTCGATGCAAGGACAGCTGGTTCACCTGGACAGAATGCATGCTTTTGTTCAAGTTGCAAACTGGGTTACAGGTATATGCCATTACAGTGGTGCCTCGCAGAACGAGCGCCCCGTAGAGCGATGAATTCGCTCTACGGTGACGCTTTCGCGATCAGCTGTTCCGCAGCTTCAAAATGGCCGCCGGAAGCCCCAAAATGGCCACGCGCAGCGTTTTTGCGCCCTTGTTAAGCGAGGGGAGGGCGCAAAAATGGCTGCCGGACATAGAGGAACATCGCTGTACGGTGAGTAAATCTGTCCGATTGGAACGCATTAAACTAAGTTTAATGCATTCCAATGGCTTTTTTCTTTCCGTACAGCGATGTTTCACACAGCGAGGGTTAATCCGTTCCGGATTAACCTCGCTGTGCGAGGCACCACTGTATTTATTCTCTGCAAATGGTCTCTCCATGGCAATTTTGACTCCTCGAAGCCCAAAGTTCTTCGAAGAAACCACGGAGATGCTTGTGGAGTTTGCACGGGGAGGCTGCTGTTTAACTTATGTTTTGGTTCACAAGCCATAACCGACCTCCACACCCTCCACCTCCCTCTCGCACGGCCTTTCCAGATTTACCTTTTCCTGATGTCTTCACCCGGCATCGCGCTATTTGGGGTGGATAAGCTGAGATCGTCTGGCACTCCAAAGGCCTCACCCTGGCCCTCTGTGTTGCTTTTACTCTGGTTGTGCTGCTTCGCTTTCTTCCTCTCCATCAGACTCTGCATCCTCTTCTGTTGTTGCTCCTGCAGCGCCTTAAACTGCATTTTTAAGTTCTCATTCACTTCGTCATCAAACTCCATTATTCTCCTTGGGAGGGGGAAAAAAATGAAGACAGGAGGAATGAAAACAGAATGCACAGCAATTTCAGCTTTTCCCTTTTGTTATCTGCACCCTCTCCGGTGGGCGGATCGTGGCCGCGATCAAACTCAATACACCCTTTCCCTTAAAGCTTTGCAGAATACAAGCAAGCCCTGATTTAGCAGTCAACTCTGGTGAATACGTGGAATTTCTGATGCCCACGTAAAAGAGTATCGGAACCCGTTTACTTGGTCGAGTGCGGTTTAGATCGTCACGAGCCTTTTATCCCAACAGAACGGTTTCCTGATTCCAAAATGGACAGAGGTTTTCTTGTTTCCACAGAGTTCTTAAACCAGCAGGGAATGGGAAGGGTAGAAACAGTATTATAGGACTCTTGACAGTACACACAGATGGTCAGTTGCCTGGATAGGTCAGGGGTTAAGGTCTCTGGCTCCACAGTTGAAGGTTGGGAGTTCGAATTTCCTTCTGCATCTTTTTGGGAGAAGAGCCAGCCAGGGTGGCCTTGGGCCGGCTGCACCGTGTTCCCAGAACTGACCCCAGGAGAAAGGAATGGGGAAAAACCACTTCTGATTATTTGGTGCCTAGGAAACCCCCCAAATGGTCCTCCTAAATCAGAATTGGCTCTTATCGTTCACCAGATTTCTTTTGCATAACTTTTCTTCGACTCACAAGGACGGAGGGAAGGAAGGAGGGAATGGGGAAGGAACAGACCTGGAGCCCATTTCTCCAGCTGCAAGCAAAACTTCCATTGGTGGTGGGCAGGGGACGGGGGGGGGGCGCTTCTTAATCTTTCTGCACTCCTGGCACCTTAAAGCGGTGGGCTAAAGCCCAGGACCAAAAAAAAGAGGATGTAACCCACCCTCCAACCCGTGAAAAATCCTTAAGATGCCGCAAGGCTGCTGGCTTTTTCTTCTTCATGGTATTACATTCATTGATCTTTTTAGTATGGTATCCTCCCTGTTGTTTGCTTAAATACAGTGGACCCTTGACTTACAGACGGCTTGACTTACAGACTTTTTGAGTTACAGACTTCTCTGGCCGCAAAATTTAGGTTTGACTTGCAGACTGAGATTTGACTTACAGACCAGAAAAAAACCAAAATGGAACAAAAACGGCCTGTTACGGGATTAATCGGTTTTCAATGCACTGTAGGTCAATGGAGACTTGACCTACAGACTTTTTGACTTGAGAACCGCCTTCCAATACGGATTAAGTTCTCAAGTCAAGACCCCACTGTATTGCCTTTTAATTGTCATAAGCTGCCTTGGGTCCTTAAGGAGAAAGGCGGGCAAAAATTAAGATAGATAGATAGATAGATAGATAGATAGATAGATAGATAGATAGATAGATAGATAGATAGATAGATAGATAGATAGATAGATAGATAGACAGATAGATAGGTAATTAGGTAGGTAGGTAGGTAGGTAGACAGACAGACAGACAGACGGACGGACGGACGTTAAGGCCCACCCCAAACTCCCAATACAATGAAAAGAACCCCCCCCCCGCAAACAAGCACAAAGAACGGACAATTCAAATTCAAAGGCACACAAAAACAGACACAACACACACAAACACATACACACACGCATGTTGCTGAAAACGTCGATGAACCGAACGGGAGGGAGGGAAAGGCACTTGCGGGGGGGGCGGGCCTCCTACCCCATCCCATTGTTTCTGGGGAGGGGAGACGGGGAGAATTGGGTGTGTGTGTGTGTAAGCGTGTTTCCCCCTCCCTTCTCCCCTTTGGGTCTCTCCCTTGCACCCGGGAT